GGCCATCATCTACGGCAACATCCTCCAGTCCATCCTGGCCATCATCCGCGCCATGTCCACCCTGGGCATCGACTACGCCGAGTCCTCCCGCGCGGTCAGTTTTGGGGGGAGGTCACCCCCATCCTCCATCCCTCCCCCCCCTTCCCAAAACCTACAGTGACAACCAAAGGGCCCCGGTGACAGTTGGGGTCCATAACCACCTCGTGGTGCCCCTCTACCCAGCGCCAGTGGGGAGGGGGGTTTAGAGGGTGATGAAGGTTGGTGATGAAGGCTCCATCTTGCAGGACGATGGGCGGCAGCTCTTCAACCTGGCGGACTCCATCGAGGAGGGCACCATGCCCCCCGAGCTGGTGGACTGCATCAAGAAGCTGTGGAAGGACGGGGGGGTGCAGGCTTGTTTCGACCGAGCCGCCGAGTATCAGCTCAACGACTCGGCCGCGTAGTGAGTGGGGTCACCAGCCCCAAGGGGGGGGCCACAGGGGACCTCCTTGGGGACCCCCACCCCTCCTCAGATGTTCCTTGGCATTTCCCACCCAGCCTGGCTAAATGGATCCCCTCCCTGAACCTGGGAAAACCTTGAGGGCATTGTCCTCCATCCCACCAATGGTGTCCTCCATCTCACCAATGGCATCCTCCATCCCATTGGGAACATCCTCCATCCCATTGGGACCATCCTCCAACCCACTGGGGCAATCCCCCATCCCACCAAGACCATCCTCCATCCCAGTAGTGGCACCCTCCGTCCCACCAATGACATCCTCCATCCCATTAGGACCATCCTCCAACCCACTGGGGCAATCCCCCATCCCACCAAGACCATCCTCCATCCCAGTACTGCCACCCTCCATCCCACCAGTGACATCCTCCATCCCACCAGGACCATTCTCCATCTGTTAGGTCCCAGTCCCATTGGTCCATCCCACCAGGGCCATCCCCCATCCCACCAAGGCCATCCTCCATCCCACTGGGACCATTCTCCATCCCACTGGGATCATCCTCCATCCCATGGGGACCATCCCCTATCCCACCAAGACCATCCTTCATCCCACCAAGACCACCCTCCATCCCATTGGGACCATCCTCCATCCTACCAGTGGCACCCTCCATCCCACTGGGACCATCCTCCATCCCACTGGGACCATTCTCCATCCCACTGGTGCTACTGGGCTGCAGCCCCACACCATTCCCCCCACTCCCCGCGATGTCCCTGCAGTCCCCCAGCACCCCCAGGGATGGTCCTCCCTTGGAGTCCTGGCATTGGGCAGAGCTCAGCCCCCCCAACCATCCCCAAAAAGCCATCGAGGGGAGGGTGGGACATGGGCAGCCCCTCAGCAGTGGGTCATGTCACCTCCCGTGTCCCCCCTCCCAGTTACCTGAACCAGCTGGACAGGATCACGGCCCCCGGGTACCTCCCCAACGAGCAGGACGTGCTGCGATCCCGAGTGAAGACCACGGGCATCATCGAGACCAAGTTCTCTGTCAAAGACCTGAATTTCAGGTGGGTGGGGGAGGGCCCTTCCATGACATCCCCCTGGAGAAGAGAAGGCTCCAGGGAGACCTTGGAGCCCCTTCCAGTCCCTCAAGAGGCTCCAGGAGAGATGGGGAGGGACTCTGGATCAGGGAGGGGAGCCATGGGATGAGGGGGAAGGGTTTGACCCTGAAAGAGGGGAGATGGAGCTGAGCTGTGGGGAAGAACTTGTTTGGTGGGAGGGTGGTGAGAGCCTGGCCCAGGTTGCCCCGAGAAGCTGTGGCTGCCCCATCCCTGGAGGGGTTCAAGGGCAGGTTGGATGGGGCTTGGAGCAACCTGGGCTGGGGGGAGGTGTCCCTGGATGGTCTTCAAGGTCCCTTCCAACCCAAACCATTCTATGGTCGGTCACCACATTCCTGATATCGCCAAGGCCAAGGCACTGGGACCATCACGTGGTGGGTGGCGGGACCCGATGTGTCACCTCCCACCCCGTGTCCTTGTCCCCTCCCCAGGATGTTTGACGTGGGTGGGCAGAGATCGGAGCGCAAGAAGTGGATCCACTGCTTCGAGGGGGTGACCTGCATCATCTTCTGCGGGGCGCTGAGCGCCTACGACATGGTGCTGGTGGAGGACGATGAAGTGGTGGGTCCAGGGTCCAGGAGGTACCTTTGGGGGGGCTGTTACAGAAGGAAGGGACCAACACCCTGTGCCGGTTGATGGTTTGGGTGATGCAGGGAAGGGGTGAGAGACGTGGGATGGAGGTGGCTCCCACCCAGTTGCACCCAGTGAACGTGTCAACACTTATTGTGGGGCACAAAGAGCCCAACCAAGGTGAGATGTGGGGGCGTGGGGCTGCCCTCCCCACTTCTCCTGGACCTTCTGAGCACCCATGGGTGAAGAACTCCCAACATCAACCTTGTCCTGGAGCCACCATCCCACTGGGGAATGTTGCCAGAGGCAGGAAAACCACCCCAACAAACCCGGGGGGGGGGAAAAGATACACAAAATGGCCTCAACGAAGGACAATCTGGCCCAGAGGCACCTCGTGCCCCCCATCCCACCCCCGAGGTGGGCAGAAAAGTGGCAATAAGGGGGGGCTTTCACCCTCCTGCGAGCGGCAACCAGGAGAAGGTCACCACGAGGTCACCACGAAGGCACGAGGTCACCACGCAAAGCCCCACAGGTTCCCCCCAGGGGAGGGATGCTCTGGGGAAAAGCAGCTCCAGGGGTGGAATTGTGGAGAGGAGGAAGAGGAGAGCCCCCAAAACGGGTCATTTCTCGGAAAAAAATATAAAAAAAATAAAAAATGAGGGGTGAAGAGGAGCGGGAGGAGGAGGAGGATGCCTGCTCTCCTGTCTGGGGTGAAGCATCTCCTGAAGATACCGGCCCCATGGATGCTCCTGGGGTCCCAATGGCTTCTCTGGGAGCTGGGATGGGGGTCCAGCACCCCTGGGGAGGGAGGACTCAGCCCCTCCTCGGCCACGAAGCCACAGTGTGTGGAAACCCCCTGGGGGGGGAAGGAGAGACCATCTTCTCATGGAAAACCTCGGGAGAAGTTTCCCCAGCGCAGGACGGGGCAGGATTTGGCCAAAACCGGCCCTGCTGGTGCAACGGGAGGATGGAGAAGGTGAAACCATCCCTGGCACCCCCGAAGAACCATCCGAAGCTGGAGGAGACCCACCTTCCCTCAGCGGGGTGGCAACCCCCTCCCTTGGATGGAGCCGTGTCCTGAGGAGGAAGCCCCCGAAGCGAAGGAGAAACCACGGAGTCTGCTTTAAAAATGGAGATTTTTCCTTTTCCTGGCACTTTTCCCAAGCCCCCGGGGGCTGCGTGAGGGGGACAACCCCTTCCAGCAACCGGGGAAGGGCCCTGAGGTTTCCCCGGATGATTTTCCACCATCACAAACCTTCCCAAAGGGAACAATCCCGGGAGCATCGCGCCGCCCGGAGCTGCTCATCCCCATCCCCAACATCACCTGGATTCTCCACCTTTTCGGGTGGGACAAAGGACTCTGGGTGCAGGCAGGAGACATTTTTTGGGGTGACAAAGAGCAGAATGGGGAAAAGCTCTGGTTTTGGGAACACCAGGGGGGGTTTGGGGGGGGGCTGCTTGTCCCAACACCCCCCTTTTTTCTTTTTGCAGAACCGCATGCACGAGTCCCTGCACCTCTTCAACAGTATATGCAACCACAAGTTCTTCGCCGCCACCTCCATCATCCTCTTCCTCAACAAGAAGGACCTCTTCGAGGAGAAGATCAAGAAGGTCCACCTCAGCATCTGCTTCCCAGATTACGACGGTGAGTCGGGGCCGTTTCCCCCCTCCCTGAGCCACCCCCCTCCCCAAAAACGTGGGCTCTGGTTGGGGAACCACGTGGTCCCAGCACCTCGGGTTTGGGTGTTGCTGGGATGAAGTCAAATTCCTGGAAGGAGGAGCGGAGGAGAGGGCTGATGTGGCCACGGGAAGGGTTGTAATGGGATAAAATGGTGGTTTTTTCCCCAAAACTTGCTTTGCTGGGTGCAGCCTTTGGAAAGGGGGGGTGAGACTGGATGGGCTTTAAGATCCCTTCCAACCCAAACGATTCCATGCCTCTGTTTCTCCTCCTCTTCCTCCTCCGGAGGGAGATTTCAGCTTTTAACTCTTAAAATCCAGCCTTAACCATCCCCGGGTGCCCCAAAGCTGCTCATGGGCTTCTCCTCCCTCCCCCCAAACCAGGTCCCAACACGTTCGAGGACGCGGGGAACTACATCAAGACCCAGTTCCTGGACCTCAACATGCGGAAGGACGTGAAGGAGATCTACAGCCACATGACCTGTGCCACAGACACCCAGAACGTCAAGTTCGTCTTCGACGCCGTCACGGATGTCATCATCAAGGAGAACCTCAAGGACTGCGGCCTCTTCTGAGCAGCTGGGCGGCAGGTAGGGCCAGAAATATTTATTTTACCCCCCCAAAAATAGGGTTTTTTTGGGGGGGGGGATGTGATGGGAAAGGAAGGAACTGATTTATTTTTGGGGAAGGGGATGGGGATGTGATGGGACGTGGGGTCTTCACCATCAAATTGGGAAAGGAAGGAACTGATTTATTTTTGGGCAAGGGGAGGGGGACGCGATGGGATGTGGGGTCTTCATCATCAAACAGGGGCTGGAAGGTTCCTCCTTCCAGAGCAGGGGAGAGGAGGACGTGAGTTTTGGGGTCCCACCAGCCCCAGGGTGGGGGTCACATCCCCCTGAGAGCCCCCAGGGGGGTTCAGTGCCCCCCCCTTCAACCCAGTTATTTGGAGCTCGGCTGCTTCGCACCCCGACCTGGGGGGAGAGGTGGAAAAGGGCAGATTATACCCCAAATTATGCACCCGGGGGAGGGGGGATTTTTATCTCCTGTTGCTTCCACAGTCACTGGAGTCACTGGGGTCTTGGCCATCAAACAGGGGCTGGAAGGTTCCTCCTTCCAGAGCAGGGGAGAGGAGGACGTGAGTTTTGGGGTCCCACCAGCCCCAGGGTGGGGGTCACACCCCCCTGAGAGCCCCCATAGGGGTTTGGTGCCCCCACTTCAACCCAGTTATTTGGAGCTCGGCTGCTTCGCACCCCGACCTGGGGGGAGAGGTGGAAAAGGGCAGATTATACCCCAAATTATGCACCCGGGGGGGGGATTTTTATCTCCTGTTGCCTCCACAGTCACTGGAGTCACTGGGGTCTTGGCCATCAAACAGGGGCTGGAAGGTTCCTCCTTCCAGAGCAGGGGAGAGGAGGACGTGGGTTTTGGGGTCCCACCAGCCCCAGGGTGGGGGTCACACCCCCCTGAGAGCCCCCATAGGGGTTTGGTGCCCCCCCTTCAACCCAGTTATTTGGAGCTCGGCTGCTTCGCACCCCGACCTGGGGGGAGAGGTGGAAAAGGGCAGATTATACCCCAAATTATGCACCCGGGGGGGGGATTTTTATCTCCTGTTGCCTCCACAGTCACTGGAGTCACTGGGGTCTTGGCCATCAAACAGGGGCTGGAAGGTTCCTCCTTCCAGAGCAGGGGAGAGGAGGACGTGGGTTTTGGGGTCCCACCAGCCCCAGGGTGGGGGTCACACCCCCCTGAGAGCCCCCATAGGGGTTTGGTGCCCCCCCTTCAACCCAGTTATTTGGAGCTCGGCTGCTTCGCACCCCGACCTGGGGGGAGAGGTGGAAAAGGGCAGATTATACCCCAAATTATGCACCCGGGGGGGGGATTTTTATCTCCTGTTGCCTCCACAGTCACTGGAGTCACTGGGGTCTTGGCCATCAAACAGGGGCTGGAAGGTTCCTCCTTCCAGAGCAGGGGAGAGGAGGACGTGGGTTTTGGGGTCCCACCAGCCCCAGGGTGGGGGTCACACCCCCCTGAGAGCCCCCATAGGGGTTTGGTGCCCCCCCTTCAACCCAGTTATTTGGAGCTCGGCTGCTTCGCACCCCGACCTGGGGGGAGAGGTGGAAAAGGGCAGATTATACCCCAAATTATGCACCCGGGGGGGGGATTTTTATCTCCTGTTGCCTCCACAGTCACTGGAGTCACTGGGGTCTTGGCCATCAAACAGGGGCTGGAAGGTTCCTCCTTCCAGAGCAGGGGAGAGGAGGACGTGGGTTTTGGGGTCCCACCAGCCCCAGGGTGGGGGTCACACCCCCCTGAGAGCCCCCATAGGGGTTTGGTGCCCCCCCTTCAACCCAGTTATTTGGAGCTCGGCTGCTTCGCACCCCGACCTGGGGGGAGAGGTGGAAAAGGGCAGATTATACCCCAAATTATGCACCCGGGGGGGGGATTTTTATCTCCTGTTGCCTCCACAGTCACTGGAGTCACTGGGGTCTTGGCCATCAAACAGGGGCTGGAAGGTTCCTCCTTCCAGAGCAGGGGAGAGGAGGACGTGGGTTTTGGGGTCCCACCAGCCCCAGGGTGGGGGTCACACCCCCCTGAGAGCCCCCATAGGGGTTTGGTGCCCCCCCTTCAACCCAGTTATTTGGAGCTCGGCTGCTTCGCACCCCGACCTGGGGGGAGAGGTGGAAAAGGGCAGATTATACCCCAAATTATGCACCCGGGGGGGGGATTTTTATCTCCTGTTGCCTCCACAGTCACTGGAGTCACTGGGGTCTTGGCCATCAAACAGGGGCTGGAAGGTTCCTCCTTCCAGAGCAGGGGAGAGGAGGACGTGGGTTTTGGGGTCCCACCAGCCCCAGGGTGGGGGTCACACCCCCCTGAGAGCCCCCATAGGGGTTTGGTGCCCCCCCTTCAACCCAGTTATTTGGAGCTCGGCTGCTTCGCACCCCGACCTGGGGGGAGAGGTGGAAAAGGGCAGATTATACCCCAAATTATGCACCCGGGGGGGGGATTTTTATCTCCTGTTGCCTCCACAGTCACTGGAGTCACTGGGGTCTTGGCCATCAAACAGGGGCTGGAAGGTTCCTCCTTCCAGAGCAGGGGAGAGGAGGACGTGGGTTTTGGGGTCCCACCAGCCCCAGGGTGGGGGTCACACCCCCCTGAGAGCCCCCATAGGGGTTTGGTGCCCCCCCTTCAACCCAGTTATTTGGAGCTCGGCTGCTTCGCACCCCGACCTGGGGGGAGAGGTGGAAAAGGGCAGATTATACCCCAAATTATGCACCCGGGGGGGGGATTTTTATCTCCTGTTGCCTCCACAGTCACTGGAGTCACTGGGGTCTTGGCCATCAAACAGGGGCTGGAAGGTTCCTCCTTCCAGAGCAGGGGAGAGGAGGACGTGGGTTTTGGGGTCCCACCAGCCCCAGGGTGGGGGTCACACCCCCCTGAGAGCCCCCATAGGGGTTTGGTGCCCCCCCTTCAACCCAGTTATTTGGAGCTCGGCTGCTTCGCACCCCGACCTGGGGGGAGAGGTGGAAAAGGGCAGATTATACCCCAAATTATGCACCCGGGGGGGGGATTTTTATCTCCTGTTGCCTCCACAGTCACTGGAGTCACTGGGGTCTTGGCCATCAAACAGGGGCTGGAAGGTTCCTCCTTCCAGAGCAGGGGAGAGGAGGACGTGGGTTTTGGGGTCCCACCAGCCCCAGGGTGGGGGTCACACCCCCCTGAGAGCCCCCATAGGGGTTTGGTGCCCCCCCTTCAACCCAGTTATTTGGAGCTCGGCTGCTTCGCACCCCGACCTGGGGGGAGAGGTGGAAAAGGGCAGATTATACCCCAAATTATGCACCCGGGGGGGGGATTTTTATCTCCTGTTGCCTCCACAGTCACTGGAGTCACTGGGGTCTTGGCCATCAAACAGGGGCTGGAAGGTTCCTCCTTCCAGAGCAGGGGAGAGGAGGACGTGGGTTTTGGGGTCCCACCAGCCCCAGGGTGGGGGTCACACCCCCCTGAGAGCCCCCATAGGGGTTTGGTGCCCCCCCTTCAACCCAGTTATTTGGAGCTCGGCTGCTTCGCACCCCGACCTGGGGGGAGAGGTGGAAAAGGGCAGATTATACCCCAAATTATGCACCCGGGGGGGGGATTTTTATCTCCTGTTGCCTCCACAGTCACTGGAGTCACTGGGGTCTTGGCCATCAAACAGGGGCTGGAAGGTTCCTCCTTCCAGAGCAGGGGAGAGGAGGACGTGGGTTTTGGGGTCCCACCAGCCCCAGGGTGGGGGTCACACCCCCCTGAGAGCCCCCATAGGGGTTTGGTGCCCCCCCTTCAACCCAGTTATTTGGAGCTCGGCTGCTTCGCACCCCGACCTGGGGGGAGAGGTGGAAAAGGGCAGATTATACCCCAAATTATGCACCCGGGGGGGGGATTTTTATCTCCTGTTGCCTCCACAGTCACTGGAGTCACTGGGGTCTTGGCCATCAAACAGGGGCTGGAAGGTTCCTCCTTCCAGAGCAGGGGAGAGGAGGACGTGGGTTTTGGGGTCCCACCAGCCCCAGGGTGGGGGTCACACCCCCCTGAGAGCCCCCATAGGGGTTTGGTGCCCCCCCTTCAACCCAGTTATTTGGAGCTCGGCTGCTTCGCACCCCGACCTGGGGGGAGAGGTGGAAAAGGGCAGATTATACCCCAAATTATGCACCCGGGGGGGGGATTTTTATCTCCTGTTGCCTCCACAGTCACTGGAGTCACTGGGGTCTTGGCCATCAAACAGGGGCTGGAAGGTTCCTCCTTCCAGAGCAGGGGAGAGGAGGACGTGGGTTTTGGGGTCCCACCAGCCCCAGGGTGGGGGTCACACCCCCCTGAGAGCCCCCATAGGGGTTTGGTGCCCCCCCTTCAACCCAGTTATTTGGAGCTCGGCTGCTTCGCACCCCGACCTGGGGGGAGAGGTGGAAAAGGGCAGATTATACCCCAAATTATGCACCCGGGGGGGGGATTTTTATCTCCTGTTGCCTCCACAGTCACTGGAGTCACTGGGGTCTTGGCCATCAAACAGGGGCTGGAAGGTTCCTCCTTCCAGAGCAGGGGAGAGGAGGACGTGGGTTTTGGGGTCCCACCAGCCCCAGGGTGGGGGTCACACCCCCCTGAGAGCCCCCATAGGGGTTTGGTGCCCCCCCTTCAACCCAGTTATTTGGAGCTCGGCTGCTTCGCACCCCGACCTGGGGGGAGAGGTGGAAAAGGGCAGATTATACCCCAAATTATGCACCCGGGGGGGGGATTTTTATCTCCTGTTGCCTCCACAGTCACTGGAGTCACTGGGGTCTTGGCCATCAAACAGGGGCTGGAAGGTTCCTCCTTCCAGAGCAGGGGAGAGGAGGACGTGGGTTTTGGGGTCCCACCAGCCCCAGGGTGGGGGTCACACCCCCCTGAGAGCCCCCATAGGGGTTTGGTGCCCCCCCTTCAACCCAGTTATTTGGAGCTCGGCTGCTTCGCACCCCGACCTGGGGGGAGAGGTGGAAAAGGGCAGATTATACCCCAAATTATGCACCCGGGGGGGGGATTTTTATCTCCTGTTGCCTCCACAGTC